GCCCAGCCCAGCCCAGCCCAGCCCAGCCCAGCCCAGCCCAGCCAGCTGGGAGCAGAAATCCCCATGGCTTAGAGTAACGGGGACCCTAATAGCCCCTGTGTCCTCATATCTCACACCTGACCTGTGAGACCCCCACCCCCAAATCCTAGGCATGTACCTCCTCATATATGTTGGTATTGGATAAGGCTCGGGCACACCAGACATCATGGAAGAAGTGGTCACTGATGGGGTCTTGAATGCTGGCATCATTCTCCAGAGTTACACCCAAGAGGCACCTGCCAGGGATTTTCCACAGGGAGGCCAAGTCAGGGGCCACCCGGCTCTGCCTTCCAGCAGGGCAACAGCCTCGCTGGCCCCTAGCCCATGTAACAGGGAGGGCGCGTTGGCCTTTCCACGGTGGAGAAGGCATTGCCTCACCTGCAGAAAGGGAGCAGAGCAGCTCTCCTGTGAAGGGAAATGCTTTTTTTCCCCTGCTGCTGGCTGTGCAAAACACACGCAGGGAGAGCAGGACTTTATCCTCAGCCCCAGGGCCGCCTGGACAGAAGTAGCAGGCTCAGCTGGAGAAAAGGATCCTGTTGCCCTGCATCTGCCAGGCCCACCTGTCAGCTGTCTGTGGCCCTTGGGGGCCACGCTCCCCCTGTCAGTGCTGTTCGGCTTTTCCTATGCGAGGAGGGTGGGGGCTGCCCCTTCTGCCCACCTGAAGCATTCGAGGCGCAGACTCAGCGCGAACTTCCCTGCTGGGTACTCCTGCCCACCCATGATGGATGGCACCAGCTCCGTGTCCTCCACCAGGACTGCCAGCTCGCTGTCCCGCTTTCCCAGCAGACTCCGGTCGTTGATATTGGCAGAACCTTTGGGCAGAGGAGTTGGGCAGAGTGTGAAGCAAACGCTGGGGGCTTGGGCCACCCTGCGCAACGCCCCCTCCAAGCTCCCCCACCCACCGATGACGACGTGCCGGTCATCCGCAATGAGGATCTTGCTGTGGATGTAGACCAGCTCTGTGAGAAGCGTGCCCCGCAGCTCCCCGTGTGTCCGTAGCCCGCAGAAAGAGATGTAGTTCCTCCAGCCCTCCCCCACTTTGGGGGGAGATGGCAGGGAGACAAAACAGAAGTCAGTCCTCGGCCCAGGCCCCAGATGTTTCAAAGCCAGGACGACACCCTTCTGCCCCGCTTCTGGCAGAGGCCCGGGCCTTCCCGCACCCCACCCCTGCGCTGCTTGCCTCACTTGGGGTGGACAGTCATGGCGGGACTCGGGGCACGGTGAGGCTACAGCTCCAAGGGGCTGGGGGTGAACTCTGCTCCAGCCATCCCCCCCAATACTCACTGACTGCCCGAAGGCGGCTAACAATAGATGACTCCCCACGACAGAGAGTCCTGCAAAGTGAAAAAGGAATCAGGCTGTCTGGCCCTGACGCCTCTTCTGCCTCCCTCCCCACTGCCACACGCAGTGGGGAGTTAGGTCCCGTGCCCCTGAGCCCTGGGTCCCCACTCACCGGTAGGTGAAGTGAAGAATGGCTTGGATGGAGTTGCTGCCTCCCTGCGCGATGTCTCCCTCAAATCCAGGCAGGAGGGGGAGCAGCACGTACACCCGGAACGGCTTCTTCTCGCTGCGTTGGGAAGCCCCTGGTGGGTCATATGATTTCCCTGCTGCCCTCCCAGCCCTCCTCCTCCCTGTGGGGTTCACGTGGCATTCTTGGCACTGACAGAAAATTGAGAGCCCCTTTGCCGACTAACACATTTGATTCGGAGGCAGGAGCTTTGGCGAGCAGCAGGAGCAGCTCCCTTCATCGGGTGCCTGAAGGGGCTGGGCTGGTGGGGGACTTAAATTGGGGGGAGGTGGGGCAAGTGGGGCAAAGGAGGTCGGCATGCAGGTGCGAGGCAGCCTAGGAGAGCCCCTTGGCCCTCGCGGTCTCACTCTGCGTCTGTGAAGGGAGGTGCCACAGCTCACAAAAGCTCCTGCCATTCAGTAAAAAGTCTCAGTTGGAAAAGGGGCTACCAACTCCTGATTTTTTGCCACCGCGGAGTAACACAGTTCCCTCTGGGGTTGACCAGAGTCTCTGATCCCGTGCAGAGCATACCAGGAATTTAAGGGGGCTGAGCTGTTTTGGGATTCACGTTCACACCCAAACAGCCACCCAGTTTCCTGATCTAGGAGCCAGGATTCCCACGCGGACTGCCTTTGACTGGGGGTGTGTGGAATGGGACTTTGCGCGGCAGCAGGGTCAAACCAGGACCTGGCAGAGCTGTTTCAAAATGCCATTTGGCAGATCCTGGCGGAAGAAGATCCTCTTGAACCCCTGCTGTGCTGCAAAAGGGGTCCATCCTGGCTCCTGGAGGACTGTAATGGTGTGCGGGAATGACCCTGGGAGACCGGGCAACGAGATGCAACCGAGGGAAGAGTCAGAGAAAAGGCAGCTGAGCCTGCAGCAGGAATGTGGGTGGGGCAAGCGGCT